TCCACTTATAAATTCCAAGAGTTGGTTGTTCTGCCAGTTCCTTCACTCTACATGCAAAATCAGTGACCCTGTACATTTTCAATCTCTTATCTAGAGCCACAAGCTCACTCCCACAGATATATTGACTGCTAATTATCAAGTATTTATTACATATCTAACACTGTCCTGTACTTATTTCTTCTATTTAAATATAAAAACAACTCCATAATCTATAAATCCTTCTGAGTGTTTACCTGATCAAAGTAGCCTGATAAAGTGAATAAATCAATTAGTTCGATGACCAAAAGTAAAAGAAGGAGTAACCAAAAAGTGCTTTCAATATGCTTCCCAAATTATTAAAAAATAAAAGTTGGAGAAAATCGATTGTACATTTTTACAATCGATTTTCTCCAACTTTGAGTAACATGGGATAGGTTAATGTTGGTGGCAAAATAACACTTTATTCAATCTAAACGATAGTGGAAACAGTAAAAACATTTTAATTAATGAACAAATTAAGTTTTACAGTGTAATCTAAGAAATATTCACAAATTACATTCTACTTTTAATTATCATAATGTGCAATAGTAACAACGAAGTATATTTCGTAATATTGTCATTTTGGTTCATTCTGGATCATAATGAGGAAGAATATTACTCCTGGCATACCTACATCATACATCACTTGAAATACTGTTTGTTATAAGATTAACTCATAGTACCTCTTCTATTTCATAAATCGCTTACCATTTCAGTGTTTTTTCATTTTCCATGGGAAAGTACGATGAATAATACCTACTTAATACAGAAAGAATTCTAATAAATCTGATGTAGCTATCATTTACCACACACATTCACATACATGCTAAAAGAAAGCATACCCATCTTACATGTATTTAAGTTGAATAACATCAGTATTTGGCTTGTCAAAAACTAGCAAAAACATGTTATACTGTTCATTACCATGTTGAAGCCGACACCTGACCAGAAAGTATATTTTACAAGGGGGGCGGGGGGATGGATATAACTTCACAAAATCTCTCTCTCTTTCTAGCAAGCTAGCATACAAATAACATCACTAAGTATTTTAACTGTGTTGTTCTCTATAATCAACAACCGGTTTAAAGAAATGTGGTGAATGTGTTAGTCATTAGTGTAATTGCATCTGTTGAGTCACTCTGATATATGTTTAGACTTGATCTCATTAAATGCGTTCTGAAAATTTTTTTATTGTAGATGTAGTTTTAAGTAATGCAATTCTTTGGGTTCTTAAGTTATATCTTTTGCATAAAATATTTTTTCACATTCATTATATTTTAAGGTCTCTATCTTCTAAAAATTTTTTTGGGGGAAATGTTGAAGCAATGTTTGAAAGAAAAATATTGGGAAGCATTTTTCAGTGGTAAAGTTCTTCCCCCATGTCCAATAAAAGAAATCTTCCTGATATAAACTTACTGGGGTTATTGTCCCCCAAGCAAGTCCCTACATAAAATTATTGTTTTACTTTAAAGTATAAGTTATTCTTGGTGCATTTTTAAGGCAAATACTTTTAGGGGGAAAGCATCCCAAATATTCATTTATCCCCACTTTTTAATCTAGTAATGATTTTTATTGGG